CCATTTTTTCTATTATATCTGCCTAATACTAGTAATGCTGGAGTGCCTTGGTCCACTTAAGGAAGAAACAGACATGGTTTTCCATTATATAATATAGCTGACCATAGAACATTTAAATTGCTTTCAAATTTTAGGTTAATGTTCTCCCTGCTGTCCTGCTACTTCCCTTAATTCATCGTAGTATTTTATAGTGTTAGACATTACCGTCCGCATACTGATCACGGCAGCTTTAAATGTAGTGCCTCCTTTCTTCTCATTAATGCTGCTGCTAAACTTTACTTCTTAAGAAAAATGATTATACTTTGTGACATATATGTTTCAAAAGAGATGAGTGTACTGCTGGAGGATACTGCCATCTGATACTTTAATTCTTCTGTGGTGTATAACTTGATTGTAAGCATTCAGATAATATAAAATAAGTTCACCACTTTTTTAAATTATAAAGATAAGATAAATATGGTAATAAAAATCCAACATAACAAGATTATAAAACACTAAATAAAAATCTCTCTCATTTTTTATTCCCAATTCTATTTGGCAAAGATAACCACATCTAACTGTTTTTATTTCAAGTTCTTGTGGTCATTACCTCCTTAATACTGAATATTATATTTATACCTCATTTTTTCTTTTTTAAATTTATTTTCCATTTAATCATTTTTTAATTTTTCAGTTATACTTAACTGAAGGAAAGATATCAATATTATATTAGTTTCAGATGTATACCCCAGTGATTAGACATAACTTACTCAGTGATCATCCCAATAAATCTTGTACCCATCTGACACCATACATAGTTATTAGAATATTATTGGCTATTTCCACATACTGTACTTTACATCCCCCGTGACTATTCTGTAACAACCAATCTGTACTTCGTAATCCCTTCACCTTTCTCACCCATGTCCCTGACCCGCTTGCAACTGGCAACTGTCAAAATGTCTCTGTCTATGAGTCTGTTTCTGTTCTGCTTATTCATTTATTTCAGTTTTTTTAGATTCAATTGTTAATAGATATGTATTATTGACATTTTATTGTTCATATTTTTAATCTTTTTTTTCCTTCTGCTTATTAAAGAAGACCCTTTAACATTTCACATAATACTGGTTTGGTGGTGATGAACTCCTTTAGCTTTTTCTTGTCTGGGAAGCTTTTTATCTGTCCTTCAATTCTAAGCTATAGCCTTACTGGGTAGAGTAATCTTGGTTGTAGGTCCCTGCTTTTCATCACTTTGAATATCTCTTGACTTTCCCTTCTGGCCTGCAAAGTTTCTGTTGAGAAATCAGCCGGCAGCCTTATGGGAGCCTTCTCCCTTGCCCTTTTTATGGGAGCTTCCCTCTGCTTTTCTCTTGCTGCTTTTAAGATTCTCTCTTTGTCTTTAACCTTTTGCATGTTGATTATGATGTGTGTTGGTGTGGACCTCTTTTGGGTTCATCTTGTTTGGGACTCTGTGCTTCTTGGACTTGTATATCTATTTCCTCCACCGTGTTAGGGAATTTTTCTGTTATCATTTTTTTTTTCAAATAGGTTTTCAATTTCTTGTTCTCTCTCTTTTCCTTCCAGCACCCCCATGATGTGAATATTGGTACATTTGAAGTTGTCCCAGAGGCTCCTTACACTATATTCATTTTTTAAAATTTATTTTTCTTGTTGCTGTTCTGATTGGGAGTTTTTTGTTTCCTAGTATTCCAAACCACTGATTTGATTCTCGGCTTCATCCACTCTACTGTTGATTCCCTGTGAATTATTTTTTCATTTCCGTTAGTGTATCCTTCATTTCTGACTGGTCCTTTTTTACGGTCTCTATGTCCCTTTTCATGCTGTTGAAGTTCTCATTAAATTTTTTGAGCATCCTTATAATCATTGTTTTGAATTCTGTATCTGGTAGTTTGCTTGCTTCCATTTTATTTAGTTCTTTTTGTGGAGATTTTGCCTGTTCTTTCATTTGGGACCTGTTCCTTCGTTCCACATTTTGGCTGCTTTCCTAAGTTTGTTTCTGTGCATTAGGTAGACAGCTGCTACATCTCCCAGTCTTCACAGAGTAGCCTTATGTAGCAGGTGTCCTGTAGGGCCCGGAGGTGCAGCCTCCCCAGTCGCCGAAGCTGGGCGCTCCAGGCGCACTTCTGTGTGGGCCGTGTGCACTGCCCTGTTGTAGCTGCGGCTTGATTGCTGTTGGTTTCACTGCAGCAGAGGAGCTGCTGTGCAGGAGCCAACCCTACAGAGCAGGAAATGCTTCAGTGGGGCTTTAGTGCTCACCGAGCCCACCCCTTGAGTGTGTTGCTTGTGGAGGTGGTTGGGTTGGTCCGAAGCTGTCCATCACCGCCCAGTGTTTTGTTAAGTGGAATATATATGTGTATCTGTAAGGAAGAGTGAGGACATTCTATATAAGCTGAAATGAAGAGATCTTCAGATTACAATGTTCATTTAAAAGAGAAAGGTGCAAGCTGATCAATCTTAGCGTCTCTAAATGCGGAGCAATCAGACAATTGTGATGGAATCTCAAGCACCTGGCATTAGCTGTGAAGTCTTCTAGCCAAAAGGTCAAATCTGAATCCAGCCAAACCTCTAGTGCTAAGTTTCATTTATAAGAAATAGGAAGAAAGGAGTATGACACCACAAGGGGAGGGAGAAATCCAGAACACGGAACATTCCACAGGGCAGCTGACTTTGCACAACCAGTGTGTGTGTGTGTGTGTGTGTGTGTGTGTGTGGGGTGGGGGTGGGGAGGGAATCTGCCCTAGATTACTAGGCAGATGGGAGCCGAAGGCAAAGTAGGAAACTATGTGGGTCTGGACTTAAACAAACCTAAGAGAACATTTCTTATTTTATCTTTTTTTAGGATAAGAGCCACTTTATTTTTTTGTTTATCTTTTATTTTTTAATTACAGGTTACTTTCAATATGATTTTTTTTGGTATCAGGTGTACGGCACAGTAGTTAGACAATCTTACACTTTCAAACTTGTTCCCTCGCCTCTATATTTCCATACACACCTACCTGGCACTGTACACAGCTATCACAGTGTTATTGGCTGTATTTCCAATATGGTTCTTTCTTTCTCTTTTCCTTTCTTTCTTTCTTTCTTTTATTTTTTAATCTTCTTTTATTTTTTTTAATCTTCACCTGAAGATATGTTTATTGATGTTTAGAGAGAGAGGAAGGGAGAGAGAGAGAGAGAGAGGGAGAGAGAAACATTGATATGAGAGAGAAACACTAATCAGTTGTCTATCCCACACATCCTGATTGGGAATTGAATCCATAATCCAGGCATGTGCCCTGACCAGGAATTGAACCTGCAACCCTGTGGTGCACAGGATGATGCTCAACCAACTGAGCCACCTGGCCAGGTAATGCTGGTGGGAATGGGGGTGCAGGGCAGAGGGAAATAAAGGGGAGAAAAATGGGATAACTGTAATAGCATAAACAATAAATATATTTTTTTAAAAAATTGTACTTCTTAATCCCTTCACCTTTTTTACCCAGTTTCTTATCCTCCTGTTCCCTTGGGCAACCATTAGGTCCTCTCTCTGTGTCTGTGAGTCTGTTTCAATGTTTGTTTGTGTATTTTGGCAAACATTTTTTGGATAATCAGGGGAATTTGATATGAACTAAAGAATTAGGTGCCATTGGAAAACACAAGATAAAGACACAAGGATGGGAATTGCAATGTTTGCAATAATTTTTTTTAAAGTCTAGAAAGCCACCACATGCCAGAGAACATTTCTGGAACTCTTCCTGGCAGTGAGAAGGGACCTCTTAGACAGGAAGTTGGCAGAGTGGCCCTAGCAGATACACAGCAGGAGAGGTCTGACCAGAACCTTAAGGTGATTTTTTTTTAAGTAGCTTTATTGAGAAAGAATTCACATACCACATGTTGTTAATTAATATGACTCCAAGTCCCATGGTTAATTCATCCTACCTTCCACTTGAATATGGGCACTTGGTGGTGGTTATTAGTTTGGAGGGCAGACATACTAAGGGCAAATATCAAACTCTTGAAACATAGCTTATAGTGGAAAAGTCTGGAGCTCAAGGACTTATGTTCTCATTTGAGATTACCCATCACGTGCCTTTGGGGAAATCAGTCTTCTCCTGTCTGTTTCCCTGTCTGTAAAATGAAGAAGTCGACTCCAATCTCTTGAGTAACTGCTTGCTCTGTGACGCTACCGGTGCATGCAGAGAACTAGCTGGAGATTGATGTTAAATGCATTTAATGGCATAAAGGCGAGTGACAAGGAAATCAGGAAGGAAAGACAGAGAAAGACCACGGGTTTTGGGAAATTATTTAGTCTGTGATCTCCCTTGTCTTTTGTAAAGAACCCTTGGCTTTTAAATTTTCCAGACAAAAGTCAGTCTCCCAGGGCTGGGACTGTTTGGGTCTGAGATGCTACCTCAGTCGTTACTGACAACTGATGCCTGAAGCCCCCAGGGTAGGAGGGGAGGGGACGTCTTGTGTATATCAGATGAAATAGAAACTTGAGGTCTCCTTAATTCCACCCACGGGAAGGGCAAGGAGTCACTGCCGACAGGACTGTGTCTTCCCTAAGCAGAGGAGTTTGAAAGTTCAGGGGAAAGTAAGAATATTAACACAGATTCCTCACTTTATAAGTTGTATAAATGAGGACACCGAGACCCAGCAAGCTTCGACGATGTAGGCCAGTTTGTGTTAGAAAAAGGCTTGTGATGGAGTGAGCGGAAAGGGCCATAAGTGTGAGAATAAGGAACACGCCATTGTCTGTGGTGGTTTCCAGCTCCCAGTCCACTGCCTGACACGTGGTGCGTGCTTCCTAAGCAACCGTCATGCAACTGACCAACTGACTGGTTTTCCAAACAAGCACGTGTGTTTCTATCTTTGTTCGTGGGTAACGAGCTGGGCCCAGACACAGTCTATTTCAGGCAGAGGACCATTTCTTTGAAGGCATCAGGAGGCTTCCTTTACTTGCTGAGAGACAGTTTTTTTTGACTGACTAACACTTTTTCTCTGGCTGTTGCTTCCTCTTTGTCGGTACGAACAGAATAAATGTCAGAGCCCCCACAGGATGTGTGTGGTGTGGCATGGCAGAGAACCGGAGTTTCCTTTGATGTGACGGTATGCTTAACCGCATTAATAGAGGAATGCTCAGTAGTCTGACGTACTGGTTGCTGGGCTAGCCCTCGGTGAAGTGGCCGCCGCTCACGTGATTGTGGAGTAGAGACGCAGGTGAAGGAAGTATCCAGTTCAGTTGGAGAGTTACAACGGCACATGAACAGAGCCATTCCTGGACTTCTCTTCTGCAGAACTCATGTTTTCACATCTTCCCTTCAACTGTGTCCTTCTGTGGCTGCTACTGCTTACAAGTAAGTCTGGGCAAGGACCTTTGCAACTGGGTAGTGCAGGATAAAGATACAAGGATGGTTGTCGTAACATTTGCAGCCGTGAAAGCTTGGAAGCAATCTAAGTATCTGTGAACAGGGAAGTGGACAAAAATAAGTAAATTGTGATATATCCATGCTGCAAACAGTGAAACTGGCTAAACATAATGACGTGAAATGTATCTAATTCATAATATTAATTGAAAGAAGCAAGGAGTAGAATAATACATACAGTAGCGATCTATTTGTGTGTGTGTTGCAGGGTGTGGGAATACAAGAATGCCTGTTAATGTATGCACTCTGGGAAGGGGAGCTGGGGAATGGGAAAGAGCGGAGGGAGTCTACCCTTTTCATACACTTTTTAATGTTGTGTGACTGTTTTACAATGTATGTTAATTTTTTTAAAAGACAATTAATTTTAAACCTAAAAACAGCCATACATTAGTTTCTGACTCAAGCAAGGGTTTTTATTCATTACGTGCCTGGTGCTTAAAGAAAGAGAGAAAGAGAAGAGAGAATTGTGACAGGGTGCGTGCCTTTGTTGATGAAGAGACAACTAGCCCGAATGGGTGAGCTGTTTTCCTGGCCGACAATGACTGACCATTTCCATCAGCCCTGCTCTCCAGGGTTCACAAGCCTGGGCCACAATTCTTTCCCAGAGCACTGGTCTTCAAAGGGAGGTTCCAAGAGCAGCCATGTCAGCAATTCCAGGGAACTTGTCAGATACACAAAATGTTATGCCCCACCCCAGAACTATTAAATCAGCAGTTCTGGTAACTGAGCCCAGGCATCTCTGTTTTAACCAGACTTCCCAGTGATTCTGATGCCCCTCAAGTCTGAAAGTCATTGCCTCAGTGGATCTTCCTTCAGACAGGATAGCAGCAGTGGTTTCTTCTTTATTCTAGTGATACAAGGCATTACTTGCACTTGACCTGTAGTGGACCATCTCATTCGTTCCCTGCATCTTGCTCTCCTTTTCTCTTTCTTCAGGGTCTTTGGAAGGATCACACACAGCCAGAGTGGGCCAGAATGCTCGCCTGCCCTGCAACTACTCTCCACCCACCCCTGGGGATCTCGTGCCTATGTGCTGGGGCAGAGGACCCTGTCCTATGTTTCACTGTCAGGGTGAGGTGCTCCACACTGACGGAAGGCACGTGACTCATCGCACATCCAGCAGATATCAGCTAAAGGGGTATTTGCACACTGGAGACGTGTCCTTGACCATAGAGAATGTGACTTTAGCTGACAGTGGGACCTACTGCTGCCGCATCCAATTTGCAGGCCTACTGAATGATAAAAAAGTAGACCTGCAGTTGGACATCAAACCAGGTGAGTGGACTTTTGTGTGCTTTCCTTATGAATAAGATTCATCTGCAGATTATGTTAAACATACTGATTGGTCTCACTTCTGGCCTCCCCAGTTACAGCCCTGGTGGTGACCCCCTGAGACCCACAGTCCCTTGAGCAGTGTCCGACCATGTTTAACTCCTCTGTCTATACTGCAGCTCATGGATAAGACCTATAAAGTGGGAGGAAAGGCCCAGATCAGGGGATGGGAGCCCGACTGCCTGCTCATTTACTTGGGAAGCTTGTTAATACCTACAGATGCTTGAGCTCCAGCCACAAGCAAGAAGAAGCAGCATCTCTGGAGGTAGAACATAAACCCTGGGACTTTTCAAAGTCTTCCCCAGGTGATTCTCCCCCAGGTGCAGCCAGGATTGAGACCCGCTGAGCTGTGTGTGTGGGGGGAGGTGCATGTGCTTGGATGTTTAACATTTACAGGGCACGTACTTCGTGGCTGCTGGAGCTGAGTTCCGCTCCAACTCTGCCTCTTCCTAGCTGTGTCATCCTGGGACAAGTTATTTAAACTTGGAGACTTTCTCCTCTATGAAATATGATAATCCCTGCCATACAGGCCACTGGAACGGTTTTAGGAGATGTTTTATGAAAAGCATCAGTGTGGCCATTTGTGTGGCCATTTGTTCTATTCTTTTTTTTTAAGATTTTATTTATTTTATTTTTTAGAGAGGGAAGGGAGGGAGAAAGAGAGAGAGAGAGAGAAACATCAGTGTGCGGTTGCTGGAGCCCATGGCCTGCAACCCAGGCATGTGCCCTGACTGGGAATCGAACCTGCGATGCTTTGGTTCACAGCCCACGCTCAATCCACTGAGCTACGCCAGCCAGGGCCATTTGTTCTATTCTTAACAATTGGACTGTGACAATGATGACGGTAACCAAGCTCTTCAGACATGTGACAAACATTTTAAATGTGCGACATCCTCTCAAGGAAGGCGTCCGGGTTTGAAAGTTGAGCGTGTGTTCCTCTTTACTTGTGCATTTCTTGTTTTGTCTGCTGCCCCTGTGATTCCTAACACAAGCTCCCCGCTCTCGGAGAAGCCTCATCCTTGCATTGCTTTCTCGCTTTAGCCGAGGTCACCCCTGCCTGGACCTGGTGGAGAGATGTCACCACAGCCTTTCCGAGGACGTCCACCACTGAGCGACCTGGCTCAGGTAATTATATCTGGGGTGCAGGAGGAAGCCTCTAGGTGGTTTCTGAGTCCAGAGGATTTTGAATATGGGGAAAATGAGGGAACAGTTTAAGAGCGGAGGTATGAATGTTTTTGTGCACAGGAAGTAGTATTTCAGGTGAGAGAGATGATGGAGGTAGACCTGTGCTGGGAACAATGCGCCCAGGCTAGGATCTGCATTAGTCAATCAAGACCTGGCTCAGGGCCAGTGCCTTTCGCCTCTTTGGATCTCTTCTGTCCAGAGAATTTGGGATTTCATGACCCAATGAAATTCCTGACTCCCACCTAAAAGAGGTTTGATCTACGTATTTTGCCAACTTCTGCCTAACATTGCCATTACTTTTAAATTAAGTAAATTTAATGTAATGAAAAACTCTTTACATTGCACTGTTATTCTGTGATTCCCAGACTGGCGATGTGTTGCCTTGACTGGGCCCCAGGCCATGTTTGGGATTGGATTAGGTGATGTCCTGGGCTGGTTCTAACTGGAATAAAGCCCAGCATCCTTCAAATTCTTTAAGTAATTAAGCCAGGACGTGTACACGCTGTTCTGGAAGAGAAGATAGGATCAGAAAAGCAGACTTCAGGTCACCTTGATCGGAAAGGTTGATCTGAAATACTTTTTCCCAGAGACCTAGTCTCTCCGGAAGTCTCTGGAGCTCTGTTTTTCATCCTGTGAAGTGAAGTCCAACAGAGGTAAATCCCATTTCCTAATCTCATGAATGTCTTAAACTGTACTTCATGAGATTTAAATAAGAAATGTGACTGACGTGCTTGGCCCAGCGTCTGATCACAGTGTACTCAGTGCATGTTAGTGTGTTAGCATTATCAGTAAGAACCAGAGGCAGACTGAGACTGCGGGACGTGCTGCAGTGGCAGGTGGAATGGGCTCTAATGTCAGTTCTTCGTAGCAGATTTATGGACTCAGGGAAGTTGCTCAAGCTCTGGGAGGCCCCATGTCCTCACCTCTTTACATCCTGCACTGAAGCAGTGCCTGCCTCATCGGATTGTGATAAAGATGAAATGTGATGATATATGTAAAGTGCAGCATAGTACCTGGCCCACAGAGAGCATTCAAAATCAGTGACTAGTATAGATGTTAACTTCAGCTCTCTAAAGGGTTCATCTTTGTTGGTTCGTTAGTGATTGTGAGCCACCATCACTTATACAATTAGTGAGGAGATGAAATAGGGTGAGAACAGATGATCGTCCATGTTGTGAGCTGATCAAGTAATATCGGATATTTATTGTATGCTATTATTATATTTTTATTTTTTAACTATTTTTATTTTTGTTGATTTAGAGAGAGAGAGAGAGAGAGAAACATTGATTTGTTGTCTCACTTATTTATGCATTCATTGGTTGATTCTTGTATGTGGTCTCACCAGGGATCGAACCCACAACCTTGGCCTATGCAGACGGTACTCTGACCAACTGAGCTAGGTAGCCAGGGCACTATTATGGTATTTTAAAAACCCTATAGCCACAGACCTAGAAGGGACTTCAGGGGTCATTTCGGCCCACTGCCCCAGCCTGTGCTCCAGTGTTCTTTATCATATCCCATCACCGCCAAGTAGGCGCTCGCTCTGTGCCCACGTGCATTCCTGAGCGGGGAGTTCACCTTCTCATGAGGCAGTGCACTTCCTTAGAGTTGTCTGCACCATAAACAGAAGTCTCCTTCCTTTCAGTTCTTCCTTGTTTGTTCCTTATCTCTAGGCAAAAAAAAGAAAGAAGGTGGGGGGGACCATTTCTTGCACTAGGGAATACAGGCACAGTATCTATAATCTCAGCTTTTCAACATCCCCCCCGCAAATATTTAAACAAACAAAAAAGGAAGTGCGTTCAAAATAGGAAAATAAATGAAAACTTCAAATTAATGTTATTTAATTGCATAGCTGTAATAGGTAACATTATGACAGTTACCCTTAAGTCAACTCATATGTGGTCATGTGTACCTCTTCTTAATGTGGAACGTGGATGCATTTAATGCGTTTGCTATAAGGTGGAGTGGAGCCTTCATAAGGGTTCCAAGGATTCTGGAAGCTTCTGAGTCCACCTTGAATACAAAACAAATGCAATCTCTCTTCCACCTGAAGGAGGTAGGACTGGGTCACGGGTAAGTCCTCAGCTCTGGAGGACTTTGAATCTCAGGTTTGCCAATTAATAGTTGTGTGCTCGGGGCGAAGTACTTCTCTGAGACTCAGTTTTCCCATCTGAAAAATGAGAAAGGAGTAGTACCTACCTACTGTGGTGAAGACTAAAAGAAATTTTGCATGTAAGGTGCTAAGCACCATGTCTGGTACATAGTACATACTAGGTGGTAACTATTAAATTTACATACTTTTAAGGCCATTGTGCCCTGGCTGGTGTGGCTCAGTGGATTAAGCTCTGGCCTGGGAACTGAATGGTTGCTGGTTCGATTCCTTGATTCCCAGTCAGAGCATATGCCTCGGTTGCAGGCCAGGTCCCCCGTTGGAGGCATGCGCGAGAGAACTGATATCTCTCATGCATCGATGTTTCTCTCCCTCTCTTTCTCCTTTCCTTGCCCTCTCTCTAAAAACAAACAAAAAACAAACTAACAAATAAAGGCCATTGCATCCCACCCCCACTGCTGCCTCCACCAGAGCCAAGTCTTGGTTTTCCTAGGAAAAACATCGCAGCTTCTTCCAACTGCTCCACCATCTCGGTTGACGAGCATCTATGTGACAATAAACCATAATATGACCTAAAAAGGCTCTAGTTTATTGATCATTTTCACTGTAAAATAAAGTAAAAGAGGAGAGAGAAAGGGAAGTCAGGTAGTTTTAGTCCAAATAAATATAGGAAGCGGACACTGGATTTATGGTAGAAAGTTTTGTGTGTGGTTATGACTCATGTTTACCTTACCAATGTGGTTTTTATACTTTAAATTCCTTTTGGGAAATAAAAACAAAGGTGACTAGAAGGTAATCTTTTTTCCTGTTTTTTAAAAAAACAATTTTAGGCTGAGACGATGCTCCTATGATATTAAAATCATAGTCTGTTAAACCAGGGGTTCTATGTTAAAGGGTGTAGGCTTTTAGGCCTCCGGAACGTGACAGTGGCACTTAGGAAGTTTCAGAATCTCTGACTGAATGAAAAGAATGAGTGGGCATGCTTCGCTGTCCCACGGCCGTTTCTGCGAGGTCAGGCAGGGCCTGTGGCCCTCTTGTTCATCGCTCTGTCCACTGGGCCTGACGGAGAGGATGTGTAGTGCATGGCCATCGAATCGGGAGGCAGATGAATAACAGAAAGGACAGAAGGTGAGCTGGCAGCTGGGCAATGAGATGCTCTTCATAGTAGTGACAATGCCAATGTGAAGGTGGTTGAAGGCAGCAGAGCTGAGTGTGTGCTTACATTTACAGTAGCCTAGATGTGGAAGCAGCCTGGTTGTCTATTGATAGATAGACACACACACACACACACACACACACACACACACACACACACTGGAATATTACTCAGTCACAAAAAAGAATGAAACCTTGCCATTTGCAACACCCATGGAGGGACCTAAATGGCACTATGCCAAGTGAAGTAATTCAGACAGAGAAAGACAATTACCTTATGGTTTCATTTGTATGTAGAATCTAAAAAACCAAAACAAACAAACAAACAAAACAAAGATAGACTCACAGCCACAGGGATCAAACTAATGGTGGCCAGGATGGGGAGAATGGGTGGAAAAGGCGAAGGGGAATATAATCGACAATATTGTGATAAATTCCACTGTGACAAATGATTACTAGACTTACTGTGGTGACTACATTGTAAGGTATATAAATGTCGAATCGCTGTATCGTACACCTGAAATTAATATAATATTGTATACCAACTATACTTATATTTTTTAAAAAAGAGTGCTGAAGACACGCAGACCGAAATTGGAAGACCATTTCTGCCACTCACTAAGCTGTGTGACCTGCTTAAGTCCTTTCCTAATTCTCAGCTTCTTCATCTGTGATGGAGCTGATTGTTCCTGCTTTAGGACAGTTGTTCTGGATGCTAAATGAGACATTTCAAGAGTTTAGCATGGTGCCTGCCCCTGGTAAATTGTAGCGATAGTTATTTTTATTTTCATTTTTAGGCAAGCAAATACCCTGTATCCCTCTGAGAAAGTGCCACATTTTTTCGAGAAAATTAACTTCTGTTATCTGTTGAAGTCTAATTGTAATACAATGCTGAGTGTTATCAGTGTTGCTGGAATTCTGCAGACCCCATTAGGGCCTGTGGACACAACAAACTACATACTCAACATAGGTCTTCCTGGCAGAAACTTCCATTTCATAGAACATATGAGCCACTGGGTTCATTACCTGGATTTAAAAAATCCTACAGTTGATTCCTAAGTGTTCAGTAAAGTTTTTTGGTCTCCCAATTCATTGTTGTGAAGAGTAAGGAGTAGAAGTAATTTCAGACAGGATTATTAAGCATCTTTAAGATTTTTTAAAAACTCAGCTAAAAGGAAACATTTTTAACCATTCTTCTTCTTCTTCTTCGTGGCAGAAACACAGACACTGGAGATCCTTCATGATAAAAATCAAACAGTAAGTAACTGTGTGTGTGTGTGTGTGTGTGTGAGCCAGCATTGTGTTGAACTCAGAGAAAGTAGAGCATGGCTTTAGCCTGCCTTCCTGACCACTCTTCCCTTGGGGAAAAATGCCTTTATCTTCCTTGGTTTCAGATCCCTTGACTATAACATGTTGACGACAGCAGTTCTAACTGCTGTGACATAGGCCTGGTGTGAGCACGGAGTACAGTGAGGCATGCGAGGTGCCTGGCACGTAGTAAGTGCTGGAAAACCAACAAGAAGAAGCATTAGCATTTTGTGCCTCTTTGCAAACTTCACAGCTGCATACCACTGTGGAGAATTTGGAGACCCTCCAGCTCCCCAAAATATGTTTTTTTCTTCCTTCCATTGCAATCCAAGTGAAAAAGATTATTATTTTTTTGTTTAAACTTATTTATTTATGTATGACAAGATACCAGTCAGGAACATTCTAAGCCAAGAGTTTATATATCTAACTACAGATAAAGCAATGTTACAATTAATGACGATTCTAGTGTCCCCCACCTTCTTAGAGTAAAAGGGAAAACCTCTAGAAAGCATACTTAGAGCAATGACTTAAGGATCCTTCGCGAACTTATCCAGGGGTCCTCATTCATTTGACTCAGTCTGCTACTCGTGTGATCACCACCAAATAGCTCAGCGTTTTGTATTTGTCCCTCCCCTATTTGCGATCAAGCACTGCCTCCTGAGTACCGCTGCGCACTGAGGTGCTGGACGTGCGGCACCCTGCGCGTGGCACTCCTGCAGTGAATGTTCATTGAACAAATGGAAGGTTTAATTCTCTGTCCTTCTTTGTTTTAAAAGTGTTGACTATTGTTGGTTTTAAAGAGGGAACATGGACTGGAATTTTAGAAGGAGAGGGTTTTTCCGTATGACCTTCAGTTATCCCCCCCCAAAAAAAAAAAAAATCAAACACATGGCAGCAATGGCAATAGCTATTCTTAATTAAGCATTTATCATGTAGTCAATATCAGGTCCTGTACCAAGCATTTTATATTTTTGTTACTTTATTTTCCCAATAACTCTACGAGGTGACTCAGCTCTTGGTGACAGAGCTTAGATTTAAACCCAGGACTGTCTGGCTGCAAAGCTCTGGCTTTTTGAGTCACTGTCTTTCTGTGAGAATGGCGGTTTCACTTCAACTACTTCGACTACTGTGAAACTTCCTGGAACACCAGGGGATCTTGAATGAAGAAGATTCCACTCCAAAGCCCGTTTTTGTTTCTGGGAGAGGGAAGTCGGTTTACTAAGAGCTCCTCCTTTACCCACAGCACAGAGGGGCACATTTTATTCCCTTGTGAACTCCAGAGATTGAGCTACTCCCCTTCTCCAGGTGTTTTGAGGCTTGTTTGGAAGGGAACAGATCGGGGTGGTTTCCAGGTCCCTGGACTTCCAGGATGCTGGGAAAAGGATGTTCCAATGTACAAATCAGGAAGTGGCTGAGTGTACAGCCAATTTCTGGCCAGACGCTACAATTCTGTTTGTGTTTCCATAGCAGATATCCACATTGACTAACAAGTTACAAGACTCTGGTGCGACCACCAGAATGAGCGTCTACATCGGAGCAGGGATTTCGGCTGGGCTGGCTCTGGTTCTTATCTTTGGTGCTTTAATTCTCAAATGTAAGTCACTTGATGTCATGTGTCTCTCCCTCTGTTAAGAAACTGTTAATATAGGAACCAACATAAACCTAGATAGAAATACAAGTTTATAATTACACCTAAATCTGCTTAGACTAAAACGCTAGTCCTTTCAAACCCTAGCAATAATAATAGCTACGTTTTATTCAGTGGTTAGCATGTAACAGGCAAGCATTGTGCTAAATGTTTTACATACATTTTATCATTGTCACCATCTTATAAGGTAGGTAGGATTATTATCCTCATTTTACAGCAGAGGAGAGTAGAGCTGAGAGAAAGTAACCCACTTTCCCAAGGGTTCAGAATCAGTAAGTGGTGGAGCTGGAATTCCAGTTCAGGCGGGCTGATACCTGTTCTCATAACTTTCGTTAAGAAACTTAACCTTTTTAACTCATGAACATGTCTGGGTTTATTAGGAAGCCCAACAAGGAAGATCCTTTCCTTCTGTGAATTTTTCTGTCTTCTTTGTTTCCCAGGCATGGAGCTTTAGAGTGAGGTATCAAGTCCTTTTAATATTGGGATGGCCAGGGCGGCAGCATTAGTGTTTTCCTCCATCACACACTCAGCACATGCACTCGTCTCTAAGTTACTTCCCTTTATTTTTATAATGTTAGTAAAGGACGATTTATATATACAGTAAACCTCTTATTTGAAGTGTATTCAACTTGGTGAATTTTAGTGGATGATTACGCCTGAGAAACTATAACCACGTCAAGGCCCAAACACTTCTTCCATGAGCCCCAAAGCCTCACGCACTTTTAAGATTGTGATATAGCCTCTTCTCTCTGACCGCAGAGGCTACGGCCATATACCCCAGGACTTGGGCGTTACAGCAGCCTTTCTTACTAATGTACAAACACGCACTGTGCGTGGGGTGACCAACCGTCCCAGGTTCACCCAGGACTGAAGGGAGTTCCTAAGATGTGGGACGTCACTGCTAAAACCGGGGCAGTCCAGGGAAAACCAGGATGAACTGGTCTCCCTAACTGTGTGGCTAGAAGCTGTCAGGTGCTTTATGTGCATCAAATCCTTGCAACCGCTGTATGGAGAAAGGTACTACTATTACTCTAACTTACCAAGTGCAGAACCAGTGTGCTGAAAAGTAAAGCGACATGCCCAAAGTCACACAGGTAGTTGCTAGATAGAGGATTTGAACTCAAAGCTATCCTGCTCTGTACTATTATTATGTTATTCTGTCATCATTGCTGAACAGATTGTGTAGAAAAAGAAACTATTCCACCTACACACTTACCAGGGTTTACCAAAGGTATCACTCTCTGGGTTTGTGAATGGACCCCACGAATATGAAGTCTGTGGGTTGATAAGGAACAATGATAACTCTCACTACCTTTCTGAGCTCTTCCGAGGCCTGAGTATTAAGGACCATACTAGTATGTGTAAAAGGGGGTAATGAGGAGTAGGAAGTCTGACATTGTGTTTTCATATACACACACACATACAGGGCTGGACAAGAGTAAGTTTACAGTTTTTATTATGGAAAAATATATAGTACAAGAATACAGAGCCATGGCTGGTGTGGCTCAGTGGATTGAGCACTGGCCTGTGAACCAAAGAGTTGCCAGTTTGATTCCCAGTCAGGGCACATGCCTGGGTTATGGGCCAGGTCCCCAGTTGAGGGCATGTAAGAAGCAACCACACGTTGATGTTTCTCTCCCTCTCTTTCTCCCTCCTTTCCCCTTACTCTCAAAATAAATAAATACAATTTTAAAAAAGAGTAAATAAGGCATGCTCCCTCTTGGGAGCACATCCACACCTTACTTCCCTCTGAGACGTGCATCTTCTAAACTTTAAGGGACCCCAGAAGACTTGCAATGAAGGAAGCAATGGGAAGTGGCCTCTTGTCCCAGGCCAACCCCCTGCACCTGTGTCCAAGGTCATCTTTTCTCTGACTTCCCTGTGGGCCAAAGCAGCGATATTGAAGTTGATTCTTACTCATTGCAGAAAGTCTTTTTTTCTCTTGGCTTCTGAAACATTGCTCTCCTACTTCATTAACCGTTTCTTCTCAGCCATTTTTACTTCCTCTTCTGCTTGACTTCTAGGTGTTGAGGTCCCTCAGCACTGGCCACCTCCCTCTCTCTACACCTCCATGTGATGGTCTGCAGACTTAAATGTCATCCTTAGTCTCTCTCTCCAATTCTCAGAGTGTCTGTCCAACTGATAGTTCCACGTACATGTCTCGCACATCGAACATGTCCCGGGGGACTCTAGAGGCTATACTGCACCTTCCAGCATGCAGCCTCTCCCTCCCTGGCCCTGCCATCGCCTTATTACACTGCCATTTATCTGGTTTTCAAGGCCAGAAAGCCAGAAGCCATCCTTGAATCCTGTCTTTCCTCTCTCCTAACACACAATCCAAGTTCAATTCCTGTGGGCATTCTCCAAAATATATCTAAAATCTGTTCATTACTCTCTGTCTCTCCCAGTCACCACCTTCTGACGGACTGTCATCACTGTTACCCCCTCACTTCTTTCTACCTCCTTTTAATCCACCTTCCACATAGCAGCCTGTGAGATCTTCTTGAGCCCAATCACATCTCATTTGCATTCTGTTATTTCTCACAGGTCTCAGTATAAAATACAAACCCTCGATTGTGATTTAAAAGGCCCTCTAGGATCTGGCTCTAGCCTACCTCTCAGACCTTATCTTGGGCCTCCCTCTTCCCCCAGCCATGCGTGTGTTTCCAGGCACTCACTGTGATCTTTATCGGGGTTGTTCCCTGCCTGGAATGTTCCAGCTGGCTCTGCACGTCGTGGAGTTCTGTCAGAGCTGGTGTTAAAAGTCCCCTTTCTGTGCATGCCTTCCAGATCACCCTCTGTAGGATCAGTTCCAACGCATTGTTGGTTTCCCTTATATCACAATGGGATATTATTATTACAGTTATTATTATTTTCAATACACCCTCACTAGAACACAAGTATCATAAAGTCAGGGCTCATAATTCACCTTTGTGTCATTGATGCTTAGCATACTACCAGACACATAGTAGCTGTTCCATCTATTTGTCAATATGGAAAATGCATTTTTATTATTTTCTAGCATAGTTAATATCATAAACAAAGACACATGGTGGTAGTTTGATTTAATTCAATCTAAGGTGAAACCAGATATCTTTAAACAATCCTTGCCTTCAGTGGGTCCATTTTATTTATTTATGAAAGCAATTTTAATAGACTTTCTTCCCTTTTTTACCTAGGGTATTATCACAGGAAATGGGAGTTACAGAATTCAAGGTAAGAATAAGGGGTTGGGTAGGGGAAAGCAGGAATTTCGGCGATTGCTATATGAATACAGCTTTGATCTTGCTCTCAGAAGTTCTGCCCTGGGACTTGAGGATCTAATCTTATACTTGCTTTTTGCTTTAGGCCTGAATTTATCAAATGCAAACACACTGCTCTGTTTACTTTCTGATCACTGTAGCTTCTTTAGTCCTGAAGTTAAGGTACACAATTCATCTCCCCATTGATAGGAAATTCTTATTTCTATATCAACAGATCATTTCCTTGAACTGACCCTTCAATTGATTGAGCATTTACTATAGCCAGGCTTTGGGTAGGCACTGGGTTCTAGAAGTGAACAAGAAACCCAGAATCTTCTCTCAGGGCTTTATAGCCCCGTCCAGGTGTTCTTAACTCAGATAAGCTACCGGAATCCCTTATGACACTTACACAGTGTGTTGTCAACCCCAGAGCAAATACGCCAGAATCTTCAGGGGTGAGGCCTAGCACAGGCATTTTTCTCAAAGCTTTCCGAGTGACTCTAATGTGCAAACAGGGTTGCTTGTATTGCAGTCTCAGTCTCCATCCCTGACTGTGCGCACACACATTCGTGTACACATACACACAGACATCCCGGTTCCAAGTGTGTGCAGCTCACATACCTCTGACTAGATTTCAGTGCCATCTGGTACATGGGTTCAGTGCGGTCTATTTCAGGAAAAAAAATGACTGTGTCTAGTGGGTGCTAGCTAAACCACTGATAATTTTAGGCCAAGTAGAGACAATATATTCCTGAAGACAAGATAGTCTGCAATAAAATAAGGTCAAAAAGGTCAAGTAAAATATTTAATTATCATTATTATAAATGATCTATGTCACTATTCTTTCTTAGAGCGGAAACCTGAAGTGTGATAGTATTCATAGGTATTAGTTATGTGCATTCAATCATTACTTGTGACATAATTTGCTCAATGTTCATCTCTACCAATAAAGGCAAACTGCATAGAAAATGAGGAACTTGTCTGCCACATTGACAACTGGGTCCCCTGGCACAGTGACTGATACTTAACAGGCACTTAATAAATATTTGGTTACTGAATGCTCCTTGTAGCACCCTGGCAAGACAGAGTGCTAATTATTCCCATTTTATAGATGAGGACCCAGAGACACAAACCTTACTAATATGAAGCCTTCATGGGATTTGTACGTTTTATTCACTGCTGTCTCTCTTGCTGCACAGAGCAGTGTGTAACACACTAGATCGTTCCTGAGTAAATAAATGAAAAACCAAAACCCAGCTCTCCCAAGATTGTACGGCTGGTAACTGACATGACAGAATTCAAACTCAAATCTGATTGGATACACACCACATTCATTTTGTTTTTGTTTTTTGAAATTGTTCCAATCCACAGAATAACGTGAATAATTGTGCAAGGAACAATAGAATCTTTTAATAAACGTGTGAACAACTTGATATTTGCTTTATTTGTTTCTTTATTAATATACATAGTTTGCTTCTGAACCATTTTAAGGGTGTTTCAGATACTTAAAAAATTAAGATTACTTCAGGTTATCTTAATATTTACCAAATTATTCTATTTTATGGTTTCTCCTCCTCCCCCCGCCCCCACTCAGCACCCAGTCAAGCGTCCTGTACTGCGTTGGGTCGGTGTGTCTTCAGCAAAGCCTGTTCTCGTTATTCTGCGATGCCCGGGAAACGCTACCCTCAACTGCAACATTTTATTTCCACAGGCTCGTCACGCTGGCCAACCTCCCTCCCGCAGGGTTAGACAACACAGTAGCAGAGGGGATGCGCTCAGAGGAAAACATCTATACGATCGAGGAGAACGTGTACGAGGTAGAAGATCCGTCGGAGTACTACACCTACGTCAGCTGTAGGTAGCGATCCTGACAACGTCTGCGTTGCCACTCTCCTTCGCCGTCACACCCAGCTTCGTTCTTGAGCGTGGGTCGTCCTCTCGGGAAACTCTGACATGTGTCAGCTGATGGGCGTTCAGTGTCCTCCACGGCTACTGAGCACCCTTTTCCATTTTCCAAAGACAATGAGCCCACCGAGGACGGGCCCCCGCCCTGCACAACACTCGGGCCTGTCACAGCATTATTGCCTCTGGCCCCCGCCAGCAAGGCTGCTCAGCCCCCCAGACTGGCACTGGGGCCGTCAGAACTCAAGTGAGCTTCTGTGTGAAGCAGGAATCCGTACTGGGGGGCCCTGGAGTTCCAGGGATTTCGGTCCCATGATGTGCCCTCGAAGCTCCTGAGAGCGTAGGGAAAGCTCTGTGCTGGGATGCGTGTGTGTCTGCTTGGCCCAGAGAGCCTAAGGGCCACTGATTCTCAAGGAGCGCGCTGACTCATAGAAGGTTAAGAACCCACTGGAGCGGGACTCGGTGGTGTTGAAGGTTTCCTTTGAGACTCAGGGTTTCTGGGCTTTGAGCGAAGACTCCAGCAGCAGACACCCTGCACGGCTCTCCTGCCCCAGGCAAGGAGAGGGCCCAGCGAGCCGGTGGCGGGGCAGGAGCACCTGGGGAAAAGGGAAGCGTGCTCGGTGTGTGCTGTCAAGTTCTGCTTGGGGCGCACTCAGAGGGAAACGTCCCTGACCCACTTCTCCATTCACGGGGAGAACTGGAGCTGTGCTGCTCACAGAAGAAGAAGCAGTGACTGGGATGCAGCGTCGGGGACAGACGTTTCTTGGTGGAAAGAAGGCAGAGGGCTCCAGCAATCTGTATTTGTCAGCATTAAGCCCCTCGGTGGAAAGTCCCCAAGCTTCCATCCCAAGACTGTGGAGACGAGGTCTGCCTCACTTACTGTCTCCCCAGTGCCTGTCACTGCTCTCACACATCACAGAAATTCACAGACACAGCTGTGTGCCCTCACTTCTCGGAGAACTCACGAACCCCCCTAAGCTCCACGTGTGCTCTTATGCAGGTAGAAGTGGCTGCTGTCTCTCAGCGTCCTCTCCCCTGTCAGGTCCTTGGAAGTCTGTTACCCCCCCATCTGTTCCCCTTCCTGCTGGGCCCTCCTGGGCACGCCAGGACCTAATCGACAACACACACCTGCCACTGCCTGAGGACCGCCCCCCCCCCAGGTGGTGACTGAACTGCTGCTGTGTCTCAGGCCCTGGATGCTAGTCCCCAAAGGCACAGGCAGCCTGTTGGGTTGTTGCTAGGAGGCTTTCTGGCAGTCTGAAGGAACTCTTGTGTGAATTCTCATGCTGGGGCTGTGTCTAGGCAGTTTGGGGAAGCACTGGCTTTTTATAGGGAGCTATGGGAAGGAGATCCTTTTGCAAAACCCTAGGCAGTGGCTCTCACACAGGTTGAAAATTAATTGTAAATGTTATAAAGTTATACAATTGTGGAGGGAAGGGACTTCAGAACACACTGGATCAGCTCAGTGGCTCCCTCTGAAGGAGGTTCTCATCCTACAAAATCTGTAAGCAAGTGTGTGCGTGAACACGGATTACCGTCGCAAAGACGTTTGTGAGAGACCTTTCCCCTCAACAGGGGAACAGTTGATTAGTGTGGTCGAGGAGCCCATGGGTGCAGGCAGAACTAGGTAGTCTTCATCACTGAGCTGTTTTGCTAATTGAAGAAATATTTATTAATGCTTCCTACGTGCCAGGTACTGTGATGCGGAGACCAGAGAGACAGACCAAACAGACACATCCGTGACCCCCCAGAGCTCCTAGTCCGACCGGCAGGAGTACCGGTTCCATCCGGGCGGGCTGTGAACGTTCACGGGCGTCTAATCCGTCAGGTGCTGGTTTAGTCCTAGGAATAGAACAGGGAGGGAGCAGCTAAAACCCTTCCTCTGACAAAGCGTATGTCACTTGTCAGGGAGAATGCTATATTGCTATGTCCAAAGAAAAGAAAAATGTTCTAGAATAGTATATATAGCTGGTGCAAATTTCTTCTTTACCTTAAAAAATGTAGAAGAACATATCTAAATTAATATGACTACCCCACAGAGGCAAATGATCAAGAGACAAGTTTTCACTTTTTTCTTTTCCATGCTTCTGTAATTGTTTGACAATCTCCCTTTTTTTTGTAATAAAATGATTAGGTGTAAACATTACAGCAATGTTTTCCTGTCTGCCTTCCTCTTCACAGAAAGAAATGAAGGACTGGTTAACTCACGGAGTGGGGCCAGTGGCAGGGTGTGGCAGTAAGCGGGGGCTGAACCCCCAGTTCGCAGAGCAGGAGCCACACTCCATCAGTTATTGGGAATGGGAAAGGTGGCAGAAAGCAGAATGAAAAGCTGCTACAATTGCCCTGGAAATGACAAGTGGAAATTGAATTAAAAAGTGTAATTAGTTTGAATATGTGTTTTGTTCATAGACTTGCCTTAGAGATTTTGTTTGCTTGTTTGTTTTTCCTCCCCAGAGCTCTGCTAAGGCCCTCACAGGCTATGAAAAGAGGGGCCCCTTTTCTTTTAAGATTGAAAAAGTAAGGCCTTACTATGTTTTCTTTTTATAACTTATTGATTTGAGAGAGAGAGAGACATCAATTTGTTGTTCCACTTATTTATGCATTCATTGGTTGATTCTTGTCTTGTCCAGATAGGGGGTGGAACCTGCAACCTCGTCCTGACTGGGTAACCCTCTAACCAGCTGAGCTACCTGGCCAGAGCAAGCCTTACTGTGGTTTATCCATCTATTACTTTTTCTCGGTTTGAAATTCCTGAAGCAGAAATTCCAAGTGGTTCTTTGTTTTATTGTACTTTACCTTACTGTGCTCAATGTGTGAGATCTTCACAGATTAAAGACAGTGCCCTTTACCAGGAAAAATTTCTGGCTGCCTTATTTTGGGTGGTCTGGGACTGAAGCCACAACATCTCCACGGTGTGGCTGCCGTTGATTTTGGGTCATCCCCAGGTGCCCATTTTAAATCCCATTTAAATTTTAATTTTATTCTCATTTAAAGGTAAATTCAAAAACTTAAAAACATTAGTTCATCTCCAGCTTTCTAGAGAGAAAGTATGGATCCTTCTGGAGATGAGCAGAGATGCCCTAGAGCTGTCATTTTTAAGATTTCCATCAACGTTTTCTGGGACTCAGCTGGAAAGAGGGGGAAAGGGGCAGGGCAGCTGGTGGGCCATTTGGGTAAAGGTTCTCAAGCTTAAGGGGGCTCAGATTTTGGCTGATTTTCACTAGAAACCTGTGCAAAGAGCAGTATGAGTCAGAACTGTTACTTCCAGTCTTCAGGCTCCTCTGTGACTTACTGTCAGTCATACTGCCAACAATGACAAAGGACATTCCAAGTGACTCATTTCCTCCTAGTGGTGATTATTTTCTGAGTTCTTGTTCAAATTCCTTCTTCTTGTGGTGTGACCCTCTTTTTATTTCCAGAAGAAGCAGTGAGGGTATTTTTTTTATCCTCACCTGAGGATATGTTTATTGATTTATTTATTTTTATTTATTTATTTTCAGAGAGAGGGGAATGGAGGGAGAAATTAAGGGAGAGAAACATCGATGTGTGAGAAATACATAGACCAGTTGACCCCAAGTGGGGACCTGGCCAGCAACCCAGGCATGTGCCCAGACTGGGCATCAAACTGGCGACTGTTTGGTTCGTAGGCTGGCACTCAATCCACTGAGCCACACCAGACAAGGCATGTCTATTGATTTTAGAGAGAGAGGAAGGGCGCAGAGAGAGAAACATTAATGTGAAAGAGAAATAGATCGGTTGCCTTCTGTATGCGCCCAACTGGGGATTGAACCTATAACCTAGGTAAGTGCCCTAACCGGAGATGAACCTGAAACATTTTGGTGTGCGGGACAACGCTCCAACTACCTGAGCCAACTGGCCAGGGCATTAGATTTTTTTTTGATTGTTATTTAAACTATTCGTGTGTGATAGTGGTGGAGGTGGGCCATCTCTTTAAATATGCATATTATTTTAATATAGTTGTTTTGTGCGTATGCCACCACTGGAAAATGTTTTATTATAACTTACAGTCCACACTGGCTTCATGCTTCATGATAAGTGGATATGCTGTCTTTTATAATTTCTCCTTTTTGTATTTCTACTTTTGCATTCATTTTAACCCTAGTTCATTTAAAATAGGAATATTTTACCCTCCAATGTAATGTTTATTTTCATTTGGTCGGCTCTGAAATCTCCACATGTTTATACATCTAAGATGTTTTAAATTTTATTATCCACAGTTTTACTTGCTATTACGTCTCAATTGTGTGCGGAATTTAATTCTTGTTCATAAAACAGTTAAGTAAAATGTAACAGCTGTATATTTGTAGGTTAAGGTTATTTCACATAGTTTTGTTTTACAAATATCATAGCTATTTTAATTCATTTCTTTATTCCCACGTTTGCCACAAGATCTTAGCAAACATCTCTCGACCCGAGTACTGGCTACATCTGAGAGCTGAAATGAGGACCCAGTGGTGGGGCCTTTAAAATCTGCCCAGCCCTGGCCTCTGTCAAGTTCTCACAAGAGCTGTCCTCCCTTGGTTCTCTCCGGCAACCCTCCTACTGCATTAAAAATTCCCACTATACAGGCAGCAGCCAAATAGTTTCTGGCCACCATGGGAGACAAGGGTTGTCTGATCGGGTGGAATTTCAGGCAGAAACTGAACAGTATGACGTTTAGCCATCCTCGCTATCTTAGTTCAAGTGGATGTGCTCCCGAGGGACCCCGGGAGGGGCGGCCCGTTTGGAGCCGCCTGCCTGCAGTGTGTTGAGACTCTGAGTACGAACCTCTCTTTAAGCAGAAAACACACAACTTGTTAAGTTGCCTGTTTATTTTATTGGTTGTTTTTTTAACTTTTTACTTTGCAATAATTTGAGATTTACAGAAATTTGCCACGATTCCCCTGTTTTCTCCAATGTCATAACCAAGGCACAGTTGTCAAAACTGAGACGTTAGCATTGGTACAATACTGTCATCTAGACTACTACAAATGTTACTTGGATTCCTACTATTGGCTTTTTAAATTTTCGGTTCAATGCTCTGTGAAAAACATAGTAGATTTTAGGTGAAGGTGAAACTCCTTATTCCTGCCCTCCTCATTAAACCTTCTCCCCATTCCCACTCTCCAGGAATAAGCAGGGTTGTTCCTTTATTTTTCTAGACCAGTACTGTCCAGTAAAATTACAATGG